TAATGAGCAATTAATTTTTTGCTCATTTGTCAAAGGATTTTTTGTAAATTACCACCCAAAAAATAGTCCAGGTTTGATCTAACCACCCGAATAATTTTTTATTTTATATTACCACCCAATAAATTAAATTATTGCTCAGATTACCACCCATTTAGCAATTCCGGTGGAATTTCCGTCAGTGGGCCCCACTTTTTTAATTTTTTCCTTTTTTTTCTGGCTTTCTCACTCTCTCTCCCCGATTTCACTCTCCTTCTTCCTTTCTTCTTCCTAACCACCACCCCCACCATTGCTCCATCACAAAATTATCCTCTAATGATGCTGATTAAAAATCGATGGTAATCTTCTAATGATGCTGATTCCTTAACCTTAATGCAATTTGTCCTTCAATTCGATCTTCTGGCAATGAGTTCCCTGCAATTTCTCCCCTGCCATCACTCCCCAATCAACAACAGCAGCACCACCACCGCTGCACCCCAACTACCGCCCACCCAGCCACCATCAAACCGCCACCATCAGCGAACTCCTTCAGCAACCGCATTTGTGCAGCCACCTTTAGCAGCCCACACGCACCCAATTGCAGCAACATCAGCCCGCAACCACCGTACCCCACCTCTTCAACATCGCTTCACCAATCTCACCCAATTCGTCGCCAATTAAACCAATTTCAACCACCAATACAACACCGATTTCACTGCAGCAGCATCAGCCCGCAACCACCGTACCCCACCTCTTCAACATCGCTTCACCAATCTCACCCAATTCGTCGCCAATTAAACCCATTTCAGCCACCAATTGGCTCAATTTCATCCCGACAACACCGATTTCAGCTCCAATTGCAACATTCGACCATCAATTTATGCCCAATTTTGAAACCCAATTTATGCCCACACGCACCACGAGGGCAGTGAAGTTAAAGGCGGTTGTCGGTGGGGTGTGTTGAGGGTGGTGGGGTAGATTGCAGTGGCTAAGAAGTATACAAAAATGGAGGAGAAAGAAAGTGGGGGAGATTGGGGTGAGGGAGCAATGGTGGGGGTGGTGGTTGGGAAGAAGAAAGGAAGAAGGTAGGAAGAAGAAGAGTGAAATCGGGGAGAGAGAGTGAGAAAGCCAGAAAAAAAGGAAAAAATTAAAAAAATGGGGCCCACTGACGAAAATTCCACCGAAATTGCTAAATGGGTGGTAATCTGAGCAATAATTTAATTTATTGGGTGGTAATATAAAATAAAAAATTATTTGGGTGGTTATATCAAAACTGGACTATTTTTTGGGTGGTAATTTACAAAAAATCCTTTGTCAAATGAGCAATTAGTTTTTGCTCATTTGTCAAATGAGCAAAAAAATTTAATGCTCCTTTGTCAAATGAGCAAACTATTTAATGCTCATTTGTCAAATGAGCAAATTATTCTTGCTCATTTTGTTAAATTAATGCTTATTTGTGAGTATTTTTGAATGTTTTAAATACGTTAGTCTACTAGCTCAAGGGTAGAGCATTGTGCAAATGCACAAAAGATGTGAGTTCGAATCCCACATAGGTTCATTTATGTAATGTGGAGACACAAGTTTGTATGAGAGTTTAATTGTTAAATAGTTATAAATCATTTCAAACCATTTTTTTGCTCATATGATTAGTACGAATTTTTTTTTTTTTTATAATTAATTTTGTATAAAGATAACCTATGTAGGAATTGAACGTACATCCTCTATGCATTTTCATAGTGCTCTACCGATTGAGCTAATAGGTTTTATCATATGTTTTAAATCATTATCTATGTTCTAAATTTTATTCTTATACTGTGAGCTTTCTTTATGTTCTAAATTTTGTTCTTATACAGTGAGCTTTCCTAAAGTTAGGAGGCAAGGCAATAAACCTGAAATTCAAAGTGTGGTTTTATACTTTTTAGTTTATACTATATAATGTTGTGACAGTGTAGCCCATAAAGCAGATAAATATTGACAAACATGAACTAGCCAGAAACATTACAATATAAGTAAAGGATACAAATTTAAAAAGTTGAGTGGGTACTAACAGTTTTTCAGTATAGCTCAAATTCCTCAATATTGGAGGGATCGTCCCAGTCAAATGATTGAAACTTAAATCTCTGGGGAAAAAGGCAACAAATTAAGCATGAAAGAGTGATCAGTGGGGAAACTAAATCAAGATTCAAGAGATATGTTTAAGTTTTATTATGCAAGTCGTGTGATCCTAGAATGAACATAAAACACTTGTTAGGACTCCAGGAGCAACGACAGAGTCACTTAAAGGAAGACTTACAATACTGCAAGTGCCTGCATCAAGCCAATAACAGAAGGAATTTCCCCAGACAGTTGATTTCCTTGCAATGACCTATGCATTAATAGAAGAATCATTTGGTTAGAGGTTATTTTAGAAGAAAACGATTTTTAATTAATGAAAAAGTCAAAGATATTGCATCTTCATACAAGGTTGCAACTTGCAAAAACCCTATGTTGAATGGAATCTCCCCAGTAAGCTGATTGTATGATAGGTCCCTACAGAAAAATTAATATAAATTCCTTTCAGCATTATATAGTCACAACATTATATAGTATAAACTAAAAAAGTATAAAATCATGTTTGCTAGTTTTACTCTAAAATCCAATCAAAACCAAAAATTCACACTAGATGATTACTTCCCAGTTCACCTCATTCACAATACAGATATAACAAGAATTCTATATTCTATGTCCTATGTTTCAATTAAATTCCTACATTCCATCTTTCAAGCTATTACTAGCTCCACCAGTTTATAGAAATGAGTTTTTAGAAATAGGGTAATTTGAATACAAAAGGCCAAAACAGTTGTAGTAAGCTAGCTAAGCTTAGTATGAACATTACACTTCAAAGTTTACACAACATACAAATGTTCACTCATTGTTTGCTCATTTGATAAATGAGCAAATAATTGTCGCTCATTTGATAAATGAGCAAATAATTGTTGCTCATTTTATTTTTGTTCGCTCATTTTATTTTCACTATATTACTTTTCATATTTAGTTTGCTCATTTTAATTATGTTTGCTCATTTTACATATCTTCTATTGAATTTATCAAATAATTACAAAATAAAGGGTAAAAGGATTCATAACATCATTTTCCGCATCAAAAGTATCCGAAGTATTACCTATGAACTCATTCAAAAAAAACTCATTGATAATAGAGTACCAAGTCACAAAATTTCTAACAAGCATTTTATCAAACACCTTGTATGCACTATCAAGATATTCAAAACAAACTCAATGATAATAGAGTACCAAGTCACAAGATTTCTAACAAGCATATTATCAAACACCTTGTATGCATCAGGATATTCATAAGTATCATAAAAATGCACCAATAACCCATTTTACACCAAGTTTTAATTGCAACACAATTACAGAATTCATAACAAAAATTAATCAACTAAGTAAAAGGATTTTGTCAACACAAACAAGATAATGATAAACAACAACACTGCGTAAATTCGAAAATACAGACAAAAATTAAGAAAATTATATTCGGAAAAAACTAACATTACTTTTGTTGATTATTTATTTGTATAATCTATGAAACTTGTTGATTCTTAACATTCGAACAAGTTGATTTGAATTTATCAAAATTCGAACAAGTTGATTTGAATTCATCAAAATTCGAACGAGATGAATTGAAATCATCAAAATTACAAAAATCAGAACAAGAAGATTGGGAATTCAATTGAAATTATCAAAATTAAAAATTAAATTAAGAAAAATCTGAAAAGTAATAATTGAAATTATGTAGCAGTGAACAAGAGGAGAGAGAAATTGTCGATCTTCAGTTGTCTCCATTGAAATCCCACCTTCAAGTTTTATAGAGAGAGAAAGAGGAGTATACAAATATACGTAATTGGGGCTAATGTTTTTGTTTATAAAATTACATTATTGTCATTACTAGTTGAACAATCTCAGCAGTTGGATCTTATAGTATCTAATGGCTGTGATGAGTTTTCATATATAATAGTGTTCTCACATAAAGGGTGGTTCTCACAGGATTCCGACCCTATATATATACTCTCTCAATGGTTGGCTTCAATATATAGCTTGTAGTAGCTTACGAAAAATAAAAAATTAAAAAACTTAAATTCAATACTGTACGGTCGCCGGATATAGTACGGTCGCCGGTAGGGGATAAGTTGGGGTTTCGCGGGGCAAGGGGTTGGGAGCTGGGCGTGGGATCTCGCGGGCAGGGGTGAGGGTTTGGACGCTAGTTAGGGTCGGGGTCCTGGCAGCGGTTGGTGGTTGTTGTGACTGGTTGGGATAGGTAGCGTGGGTGGTGCCATGGTGGGTTGGGGGCTGGTTGGGGTGGGGATTGGTGGTGATCGAGGGTTTGGCTTCCTTTTTTTTTTTTTTTTTTTTTAATAATAATACTACTAGCTACTAATAATAAAAATATTACGTATAGGTTTTTTATCTTAGATTTTTTTTAAATGTAGTTAGATTGTGTTGGTTATGTTTTAATTAGAATTTATTTTATTTTTTTCAAATCTCACCAATAATGCTTTGATACGTGGTACAATAACTTGTTATTAACTCATATAACCAGTCATGACTTAATATTGGAATAGTGATCATAAAGTTGAGCTTATTTTTGAATTAATTGAAGTTAAACTTAATATTGGAAGACTTTCTAAAATTCAACTTATTGTTGTTAATTTTTCCTATATTTAATTATTAAATTGAATGGTCAAACTAATTCATAGGCAATTATGTCAAATTTGACTGTGTCGGTTAATTAGTATGTATGGAGAGTGATAGCTAGTGGATTTAATCTATCTATTTACAACTATGAGTGTTTGATTTATTTGATGATATGTTAGGATTAAATATATCTTAAACGGCCTTGATTACCCCAAAGAAAAAGGTCAGTCAACCTCATGATAGTTGTCAACCATCTAACTGTCTAAATTAATGTCAATCAAAATCTTACAGTTCGATGATAGTTGTCCTTTTTTTTACTCTCTAACTTTTTTGTGTGGACATAAAATTGTGGAGAATAATTTACATCTTTTATAAACAAAATCGTAACATGCCTTAATATATCAGAAGTTTATCATATACATGTTGTTATTGCAAGATTGAAATATTTCTCAATATAATACAACAAACATAACCCCAAAAAAATGTGGAGAAGTTTATCCAATTTCATTTTTCTTATGTGCTTAACTTTGGTTAATTGTGAACCAAAAGTGCCATGTTTCTTCATATTTGGAGACTCATACTCAGATGCAGGCAGTAACAATGCGCTATTTTCACTAGCTAAAGCCAATTATCCACCATATGGGATTGATTTTCCGGGAGGAACTCCCACCGGAAGGTTTACCAATGGTCTCAATTGTGTAGATTATATCGGTAAGTTTACAATAGTCTATGTTTGATTATAATAAATATATTATATATGTATATATATATGAAAATAAAATATGCATAATTACAAGGTAATTGAATATACAATATAAAATAATACTTCGTTTGTAATTGATGATGGTATTTTTCATTACGAATAATAACCTTGGTTTTTGGTTAGCTCAATATTATATAATGATAATATTTGTCTTTATCGTACTAGGTTTTCTAACTTGATTAGAATTAGTCCTGTAAACGCTATATATATATATATATATATATATATATATATATATATATATATATATATATATATATATATATATATATATTGATTAATGGTACACATTTTAATTTGAGGAGTTTTCCCGAAATCTAACTATAATCTTATTCAATATGATATCTTAGGCGGGAAGCATCTAACATCTAAACGAAGGAAATTTGTCAAATAAAGCCATTTAAGGTACTCACTTTGACTAGGCCAATTGTAGCCTTTTCAAACAGAGATTGCAAATATAATAACCTAAAAAGTACACTATCTTGTCAATTGTTGACACCCATTCCCATTTTCCGCCAAAATTGTTTATGATTGACGTAAAAATGCAAATTTGTCGTCGTTCTTGGAATTTTTGGGTCATCCAAAGAACCTCTTTCCAAATGAGCAAAGAAAGACAACAAAAACCTTTGTTGCCCGAAAATGCATAATTATAAGGAAAATGGTGAGAGATTTGGGACAATTTCTTCGTGCACAATACTTTTGGTGGATTACTTGGTAAATACTTCGTATTACTTTGTAATCCGTAGTATTCCAATGATTCAAATCATACTTATATTTTGTGACATTCCAATGATTCAAATCATATGTACATTTTGAGATGTTTATTTTACAGCCCAATTCCTGGGATTCGGAGGATTCATAGAACCATATAGAAACAATACGGGTCAAGATGCATTAAAGGGTATAAACTTCGCATCAGGTTCTGCTGGAATTCTCTCACAAACCGCATATCATGTGGTACTGTTTTAACCCCAACTATTTTTTTTTTTAATCTTTCTAAAGTGTTGTAGTTTAGCATTATAAAAAGTAAATAATAATAATAATAATAAAAAAAAAGACATCATTATATCATCATAATCAGATGATCAAGCTGTAACCCATAAGTAGCATTTTCATAATTTTGCAAATTCTTTTTTTTTAAATTAAAAAAAAATCAAGTACTGACCTGTTCTATTCAACTTAATTTCAATTCAGTTTCTAATTTCCTTCTCTCATAAATAATTCATTTCAACATTATTCAGTTCAGTTCAGTCAGTTCAGCCCCAATCAGTTAAGTTGTTTTCAGTAAGTCGGAATAGACCTTAAGAGTTGCAATTACATAATTTTGTGTAATTAGGGTTGTTCGCGGTGCGGTTTGGATCCTAAACCGCACCAAACCGAAAAATTGCGGTTTGCTTTTTTTCCAAACCGCACCAAATCACACTTATAACCAAACTGCACCGCAAAATGCGGTTTGATGCGGTGCGATTTGCGATTAAATGACTTTTCTTAAATATTACTCCGTAAATGTTTTATTTTAAAAAAACTTTTACTTTATTTTGTAATTATAAACCTATACTTTGAATATTAAACTCTTTTTTTTAGACTTCAATTACTTAATAATTAAAGATTACATCATATTTTTAAGTTCTTTAATACTTTTTTTTGATAAAATGGTTTAAAGGTTTGTTGTTTAACCGTGTAAACCGCATCAAAGTGCTGTTTGAGGAGCGGTTTGGTCTAAAAATCTTTGGAAACCGCACCAAACCGCAAAACCACGATTTGGTCATTTTTGAAAATCACACCACATATTTAAAACTGCAAACCGCACTCTAAACAACCCTATGTGTATTCTTAAATAAGAGTAGCTTGTTAGCCTTCAAATTTTTTCACCTTTAAACATGAAAAATTCCTAACAATGTTTCAGAATTAAACTTCAATAATTGGTTTTTTTTTTTTTTTTTTTTTTTTTTTTTTTTTTTTTTTTTTTGTGGACAAGAATTAAACTTCAATATTTTTTTTGTTTTGGACAAGAATTAAACTTCAGTAATGAGAAAGCCTAGGCATATAAATAAAACTTTGCGAATATGAGAAGTATTGAAGGAAACTAAAAATAAATCGTTCACCATTTTCAGGGTGATCGAGTGTGGATGGATCGACAATTAGAAAATTACAAGACGGTAATAACAAAGCTTGAACCGAAGGTTAAGGGACCAATTGGCAATTACTTAAACAAGTGTTTGTACAGTGTTAATATTGGCACCAATGACTACATTAATAACTACTTCTTGCCACTTCTCTATCCTTTTTCCAAATTCTATTCTCCTGATGAATATTCTTCAATGCTCATTGCTCGATATACAGCACAGTTACAGGTTTAGCTTTCTTCTTCTTCTTTTGATTTTTTATTTTTCAATGAAAACAAAGGGTAATATTATATATAACCCTTATGGTTAAGAATAAACATTTAATATATTTCTTAATTTGATACAATTAATTATATTTATGAATGATTGAATGCATGGCAAAATCACACGTAAATTAGTGTAATTAATGTTATATTTAACATTTTTAAAAGAAATATCATATACTAATTTGTGTGTGCCATTTTTGTGTGGGTGATTTATTTTTGATAGGCCCTATATGATTTTGGAGCACGAAAGATAGCAGTTTATGGTCTGGGCCCATTAGGTTGTCTTCCATTTGAAGTCACAAAAAGTTGTGCAACTGAATGTGTATTAGAAAAGAACCAAGCTGTACAACTTTTTAATACCAAGCTTGTATCACTAGTGGATCAATTCAATACAAAGCTTCCTGGGGCCAAATTTATATTCGTTGATACCTTTGCCATCCTAAACTTAACAGCTCTCCCTGGTAAGTTGTCCATTATCATATACTCTCTTTGTTTCTATTTGTTTTACTTTCAACTTAAACTTCTCTATCTTAAAAAAAGTAATATTGAAATAAAAAGAAATAATGAAGGAATGGAGAGCGTAAAAAGTATGTAGCTTAATTAATTATTTAACTTATTTTGCACCTTGTTACAATAAATGGAAGTAAAAAAGAAACAAACTTCCGTCGTTTATATCAAATTAAAGTACAAAATTGGCAAATTAATTACGACTTAATTTTGTTTTAAAATTGATCTTTCGTCATTTGAATTATCTTTTTCCCCTTTACATTGTATGATTAAACTACTAAACTACTATATATATGTAATTCATGTAAATAATTTAATTGAATTTTACTTCGGAGTACTAGTTGAAACTTTTTGTCATACGCCGTAGTAATTTGTACTTATAAAAATGACTTCAATGATTAAGACTAATTTTTAAGTAACATTTGTTGTCCTTGTTCAACACAAATTGTACATTTTTTTTTATGTCATATTCATGAAAAAAAGTTGTTTGATGTAAAAATTAATAAAAATATATTGCAGGTTTGATCATGAATTCAACTTGTTGCGAAATAGTAACCATTAGTAATCTGTGTAAGTCATCCACTCCACCATGCCCAAATAGGAAGTCATATGCATATATGGACGGAATTCATCCAACTGAAGTTGTAAATCAGCAAATTGCAATATCTTCATACACCTCTCAAGATCCCTTATTTGTTCATCCTATCAATATTAGTCAATTGATTACCAGTTAGCACCAAGATTTATTGTCAATTGTTCTTTATTAGAGATAATGTCAAAGTGATATATTGACATTACTCTTGTGATATTCATTATTTTGGTATATACTGTATCTTCCTAGTATAGCTATAAGATCAATCTTGGGTTTCAACCATCAGGTTAAGCTTTTGATTGAGTTGGTCGTTTAACATTCTTATCTTGTTATCTCCAATTTAGCTTGTATTATTTGTACTTGTTCAAAGTATAGTTGATTAAATAATAAATAGATTTGTACCTCTCTTTATGTTCAAAACAATGTTCTTATCAATGGCAATTGTCAATTGATAATTTTGAGTGATATTTGTTTATTTCAATTTATCAAGCATTATCTTATTTATTATTTGACTTAATCAATCCTTACCATATCTTATTGAACATTACTATTAGACCTTATTACATATCAGTACTTAATAAAATATATTACTCTTTATTTTATCTTATCTAAACTTATCAACCCTTAATTATTATAGTATTTTAACCTTGGTGTCTTCAAATTTGACATAATTCCACTTTGTGTTTGGTAGTATGCGTTGTGTGGTTTAGTTAATTAATGGGTTTGGCTATTTGATTAAAAACCACTAAAGTTGAAAGAGAAGCAAATTAATTAGCATGCATGGGTTATGGCCTTATGGGAATCGGCTTCACACTGGTTGGCTGGTAGCATGTGGGTTTATTAAGAATCATACATATGATCAATGAGTCTTTATTTTTATTTAGTTAGGTAAGATCTCATATTCTCATACTATCTGTGAGAATAGAGCCGTGCTCATTCACCATGTGCGTTTATCTTTGTTATCCCAAAAACTAACTAATTTGTTAATATGACTAGTGTAAAGAGTCTAATTGCATGGAGTTGTATCTCAGTCTGAAGCCTAACAATATTTAAGACTATGGCTACAAAAGAGGTAATCACGGGTCGGGTCAGTTGAATGCATAAAACAACCAGTCAAGTTGGGTCGAATCAGTTCGGGGCGAATATATTTGCCCAAAACTTACAAAATTGGACCATATGTCTAAGCTTTTTTGGGTAGGGCCAAAAAAGTCTAAAAATGCTTGTCCAATGCTTTTGGGGGAAAAATATTTTTGATTGGGCCCTACTTTTGGCCAGAGTTTTCTCTACAATGGCCATTAAAAATTGGATTGGGATTGCGTGCAGAGCTTATCATGATCACCTCTAGGCTACACACCCTCTAGTTATTCCAAAGTCTTGTTAATGAACTCGTTTTATGGATATGAGTTTTCCAAGAACGGATAAACCTTTCTTTGCTATATAGCTCTTTTCGAGTGCTTTTTGAATATTTCATGGTAATAATGGATATCCCAAATGTATAACTAAGATTAGTGAAATTTCTCTTTCAAGAAATTACTCTTTCAAAGAAAACAAGTACGAAAATAAGTTATGTCTGCTTAATCTGAACGACCTTTCAGTTCTAGCTAGTCCAACTAGAGAGTACTTACTAATTTGATTATATTTGATTCTTATATTACAAACCCTAAAAGTGCAATGTCACCCATGAGGCCATGATATAACCTCAAAAAAAATAGAACATGGAATTTAGAGGTGTAGTGGACTTCCAAAGCCGTACCTAAAACACAAATAAGCATTGCCAAATCCTAGAGAAATAATAAAATGAATACTTTTCATATATGAGCTATGAGAATTTCAAATATATATACAATGAACAGTTTTTTACATATGTGTTGTAACTATTTTTAAATATTTAAAAAATGAATTAATTTCACATATCTGTTAACTATTTAAAAACAATTACCTCTGTTAAGAACTTAAGATCCACTCGTCGAGTAGAAAGACTATATGAGATGATGACATGTAAAAATAAGCATGTAAACTGGCTTTGTAATAGTGTCTAAAAAAACCCCTCATAAACCTAAGCTATTTGTTTGAGCAATAAGTATTGTTATTAGAATAGTACGATTCTACGATCTCGATCCACCCAATCGATTTGAATCGTACTAAAAATCGTTGTGTGGTAGAATCGCTCATAGAATCGTTAGAATTGGTGGAATCAGAACGATTCTATGATTCTACACCGATTCTAACGATTCTACCCCTGCAAAAATCCTGATATTCCAAAGCCCATAACTTTTGATTGCGAAGTTAAAATTAGGCTTATAATATACCGTTGGAATAGATCTTGAAGTCTACTTTCTAACCCAATTAGTCTTGCATCCATATCTTTTATATCATATGATATGACCAAAAGAGTGCAAAGGTGTCATATTTGAGCCTAATTTTTATTCAATTGTTTATTTATTTTCAATATAAATTGAAGCTAAGGTTATGAAATATTAATTTTAAACTCTTTTAAAATGTTATCCAACCATTTGAATTTCATGGACAAAATCATAGATTCAAGAGTCTTATGAGCTTAACATTGGCCATTTGCTATATAAAAACACTTTCATCACATAAGCTTGTTGTGGTTGTTATATATTAGCTATCTCTTTGAACTAAACTTATTTGACACTTAGTATACCATTATCATTGGATTATTTACTAGGAGAAACAATTTTAGGTGTCAAAAAAATTACTTTGGTCATTATTTAACATGAATTGTCTTGTACTCTTGTGATTGACCTACTAGGTTAAACTGTGTACTAATATCTTATGATTTTATATTGTATATGTGTCCATTTGAACTAGGAGCGTGTGATAGTACTAATAAAACGAGTCAAAGTTTGTATTGTTGATATTATGTTAGCAAAACTATATTTATTATTATACTTATTGCTTGATAGTTATGTTTTAAGTCATTTAATATCATTTCGAAACATAATTTTTTAAATTTGTAGAATCGTACGATTCTACGATTCGATTCTACCTCACTCGCCGATTCAAAGTAGAATTCCGATTCTAATAACTTTGGCAATAAGTGTGGTGTCTCTTGTTGGTGTCTTAGGAATGCAACTACAAAGAATGTAAGATAGTTAATTAATGAAATCCTTTGAAGATCTATTTATATTGGGCCTTGATATATATATGCTGGATTGGACTTGGTAGCTGTTTGGGCCTAAAAAACACCTAGGACATTTGTCTTATTGGTTAGGCCCTTGAAACAGATTTGATTTGGGCTTGGTCATCTTAGGCCCAAAGTGGATGGACCAACTTAAACAAGGTAACGTAATCGAACGGTACAAAATAAAGGAAATACCACTTATCATAATGTATTCATGTGTACTTTAGAGTTTAGATAGAGAGTCTCGAGTTTGGATAAATCAGATAATGTATTAATTTGAGTTTTCATACCATGATTTTTTGTACTGGTTCACACTTAAATCATTCTTTAATTTTTAGTAAGGTTAATAAGCTCTACAAGCATAAGGTATGATACTATCATGGCCTTTAAAGAACATTAGTACATAGATTATTAGTTTTATATATTTATTAGTTTAATTGCTACTTTGTTCTCGATAAGACACTGAAGACAAATGACATAAACATAATCTGATTTAAGTTTATTAATTCAATTGCTACTTTGTTCTCGATAAGACACTGAAGACAAATAACATAAACATAATCTGATTTAAGTTTATTAATTCAATTGTTACTTTGTTCTTGATAATAATGGAGTAGTTTAATGATACTTCAATTTAAGTGAAAAGTAATACCACGTATATTAGTTTGACTTTGACTTGATCCAAGTTAATGAATGTTTAGTGTTCACCTCAATGTGTAAGGGTGTTTTTAGATGTTATTTCTCACGATCCACACAAAAATTGGGATGCACGTCCAGATCTTAAGAAAAGCCCTCATTTCCAATCCCATCACGCAAAAAATTCTACAACAAACTATCCATAATGCAATCATCGTTAGTTGATAATGTTATATCATTTTGATATCATATACCCATGTTAGCAACAGCAAAGCAAATTTGACCCCAGATATTTAAACTCCACATGTTTAAAATTTTTTTAATAAATATTTTAATCTATATGTTACACTCCGACCAACGTGTAAACATATTTTTGTAATACAAAATTCCTATATTTAGTCATGATGGCATAAGACATATAGAATAAAGAATAATTCACATCTTATGAACTGATTCGTACGCGTATTATTGGACAAAACAATAGAATGTTAATTATTATACCATGACCAATGCAAGTTGTCCACTATTATAGTAATAACTTTATCATCCATAACCTATCTTTACATCATTCGACTCCACTCATTATCATCGACGATTGACTCATTTTGTAAGGTTCTTATTTCATGTCTTAAAAGTTACTTGTCAAGTGAAAATGCTTGGAAGTAGAAATCTCTTTACCATTTTTGATGTTCTAGCCCCCTATTTTTAATTGTCTTACCCGCAAATACAAGACTAAAGAAAATGTAGAATATATAGTTTGATCAGAGTCCTCAAGTTGTTGAAAAACAATAAAATTCCCTCACCAAAACAAAATAGAATACTCCAATAATGAATAATTTAAAATCATCGAATCTTTCAAGTATGTATATTAGTGTGAAAAAAACTAATAATTTATTTTCCTTGACTAACAAACTTTCAATTACAATGCAAATTGTCAACTTTACCATCATAGGCCGCGTAAATCAATAATACGACCTATGGGTCCATCAAAGGAACGTAAAAATGTAATGATTGTTAGACTTTTTTATTTTATATTTTTCTTTTTTGTAATTTTATATTAAAGTATCCAACTATAAATAACATAACTTGATCAATAACTATCTTATAATGCAATATCACAAAAGTTCGAAGGTAATTCAATAATTCATTACCAATAACCAAAAATACAAATAGAATGTTGCGAATTCGAGCAATTTTTTTCGTTTTTGTTTTGATTAGCTCTAATTTTGTTAATGGCGATCCGGAGGTGCCATGTTACTTCATCTTTGGAGATTCGCTATCAGATGCTGGCAACAATAATGCCCTAAATACCATGGCTAAAGCTAATTACTCTCCGTATGGTGTCGATTTTCCTGGCCGAGTTCCCACCGGAAGGTTCACTAATGGACGTACCATTGCAGATTTCATCAGTAAGTTTTTCTTAAAAAAAAAATAAAATAAATTATGTTAACCCAAACTTGATTTAAGTTAATTAAGCTTGTTAAAGTAGAATGGAACCTAACACAATATCTACTAAATATGGCAACATATATACATGAAGCATGTAACAATGCTAAAAATAGTCGAAATGATCTGGCTAAACACAATATCTACTATACATATACATATATCCATATATTTATCCTTCTAGTTGTTAAATTAATGTTCATTTAATCATATATTCTTTGTTTGGCTGTCTATAAATTTTACACGTGAAATTAACTAGGATCTTTGGATTTTCTAAATGTAAAATTGAAACAAAAAAAGTAAACTTTTTATGGTATGCCATCTTTTTATGTATGTGTTGGTGATTTATAGTAATGATTCCATTGGTATATTTATCAATAATTTTTGTAAAAAATAAAATAGATAGCTATATTTGAATCTAATTAACTTGCATTTATAAGTGTAAGTATAAAATGATTAGTTGTATCACATCATTTCAAGTACTCGTATAAATTAATTAATTTTGTAAAAGTAAGACTAATATATAAGACTTAATGATGTACAAAAATTTGATGCAGATATTGAGAATGATACCACTCCTAGAGAAGTTGGGAGTCGAGATATTAACCAACTAAAATTTTTTATAGTCACTTGACACTCACGTGTGGGGTCAATGTCGCAGAAAAAAGTCAATGGCCGAATTCCGGCCTTAATGTCTCCCAAACAACTAAATAGACTTATAAGGTCCTTCTCGCCACTTTAAATTTATAAGATCCTTCCAAACAAATAAGTGAACATATATGTCCCTTCCAAACAAATTTTCCTTAATTTTAAGTATCAGATAGTGTTTTTGATCAAAGTCTTCATCAAAGACTTTGACTGATACTTAAAACCAATATAAAATGGAATATTCATGGTTCATACCGTCACACTTTACTTGCATAGAAGAGGACGGAGAAACAACTATGATTATAATATCTATTAATGTATTGTCAAATTTTACTTTTCAATTCAAATAATTAATTTAATTCTCTATACTAATTATACATCATAATATCATATGGTGCTTAGTTCGGGAAAAAAAAAAAACCCCAAATAGTTACGGAGTATTAATTTTTTTATCGGTGATATCACAGCTCAATTCTTGGGATTTGAAGAGTTTATACAGCCATATAGTGCTCAAATTGGTCAAGATGCATTGAGAGGCGTCAATTACGCATCTGGTGCTTCAGGAATTCTCCCAGAAACTGGATCAAATTTGGTACTATTATAACTTCTATATCTTGCATATTTTTATGTTTGTAAAAAACTAATTACCCCAATCCCTTTTCATTACTTCGTATTGTTAAATTAATATGATATTATTTTAGAAAAAAAACATATGTTATCATGACTAGTAATTTTTGGTGATTTTTACTTGTATGTCAAGTTGTCAACATTTCTATGAATAAATAAAGGAAACAAATTGCATGAAGTATGGAAATTTAAGATGACACCTTCATCTTGTCAAAAAAAAAAAAAAAAAAAAGACACCTTCAAAACCATATCTGAACTTCGTTCCTAAATTTTGCCATTCACTAATCACCTGATCAAACATACTTTATATAAATAAAATATCATCAAGTACTTGTTAGATTCCTTTAAATGTGGATTGATTTTCTAGTTTGTAAAAAAAATAAATATAAAATAATAATGAATAAGAATTTAAGTTAATTTTTGTGAAAAACTATCTTATTAAAAAAATGTTGTAAGAAACTTCCTTATAAAACAATTATTGTTGTAAAAAGCTACATTTTGCCGAATTATTGCATTGAATAGGAGACGTTGAATGACCCATTTTCAATCATTTTTTCTCCTTTGTCCACCCAATTTCTACATAGCCCCCTTATAACCCCTAATTCCCCTTCTCTTTCATTGTTAATTAAGCACATGGTAGCAACTTACAACATTTAGTTTTTATAAGGTAGTTTCTTACAATAATTTTTTTATAAGGTAGTTTTTCAAAAAAAAAAAAGAAACGCAAATGGAAGGGTTTGAGGGAACTAATTAACTTTAATTCCATAACAAAAACAAAATTTTCTATAAAAGGGTATGATTATTTTGCTTACCATTCGTATTGGTTTCCTCCATTTTCAGGGTGAACGAATTTGGTTGGATCAGCAATTACAGAATTACAACGTCACAATCTCACAGCTTCAATCGATGGTTAAGGGACCAGTTGCTAACTACTTAAACAAGTGTTTGTACACTGTTAATATTGGTAGCAATGACTACATTAATAACTACTTCCTCCCACAACAATTTCCTAGTAGCAAACTCTTCACCAAGGACGAATATGCAACACTACTCATATCTCGATATCAAGCTCGATTACTGGTATGTGTTTGTTTGTTTGTTTGTTTACGATACTAGATGCATGTCAGTTAACAAAGACAAAATTGAAATATTGGTCTCAACATCACTAGATATAGCATAGTAGTATTGGGTGTAGCGTGTGTCCAAACATGCACCTTTAGGATTATATCAACTTTGTATTGGGTGTAGCGTGTGTCCAAACATGCATCTTTAGGATTAAATCAACTTTGTATTGGGTGTAACGTGTGTCCAAACATGCACCTTTAGGATTAAATCGCATTTGCATTATCTATAGTCACTCGTTACTATTATCATTATGTACGCATATGTGTGATTGTTAATTAGCAAAACACTTCCAAAATCTATGTTAACTAACACTACCCGATATATATTTTATTTTGTTTTTATTACATAACTAATTTAATGCTTTTTGTGATGTAGGCACTATATGATTCTGGTGCAAGGAAGATAGCGGTTTTTGGATTAGCTCGAATAGGTTGCACTCCAGCTGAAAAGGCTAGATTCAATTCAACAAATTGTGTTGATGAAATCAACAAAGCAGTGGAACTTTTCAATACAAAGCTTGTTTCAGTAGTCGATGATTTTAATTCAAAGCTCCCTGAGGCCAAATTTACCTTCATTAATCTCTTTGCCATGCAATCTTCGACTTCGTTCCCTTTTGGTACGTGGGTCGATAGTTGTTACATTATTAGTTTAAATTAATTATAAAATTTCGTTTTGGAGAGTACGTGATCCAAACTTTGAATTTTGCGTTGCAGGGTTTATAATGGATTCATATTGTTGCAAATTAAGAAGTGATTTCATGTGTGAGCCGCTTTCTCCACCTTGTCGTAGTAGGCTCCTTCACGGATACATGGATGGATTTCATCCATCTGAATTTGTGAATCAAGTAGCAGCAACAATTGCATACAACGACCCGTTCTTGTTTGTCCATCCGATGAGCATTAGGCAATTAATTTGAAGTTAGCCTGATTTTATACACAATACTAAAAGCATACCTCGGCCGGACGGCCGAAATACAACATACAACATAGGATGGATACTTACACGAAGTATGTATCTATATATAATTTGGGTTGGTTAAGATGAATGTTCCAAATGTACTCGATCGACCCTTTATGGGTTCACCAAACTAGTTTTCAGTAGGCCAAGGTCTTTGAAAGTAGAAGAAACAAAGGGTGTGTAAATTTTAGATGCATTTTGTAGTTTTTATATTTACATACATTCTTAATTTGTCAGTTTCAATTAAAATTATTTGTATTGCATTTAAATAAGAGTATTGCCTTAAGACAGTGGCGGAGCCAGAAATTTTAAATTGATGGGACAAATAAACATCACATAATTTTGACAAAAATCTATACTTTTACACACGAATAGCTAAATAGTTAATGTATTACAACTCAAAAAGTCCAAAATACGGAATACTTCGTTAAAGTTGTATGTAGGGACCATATACAACACTTGTATGTGTAGCCTTTACCACCACCTATCGTATACCAATTCTTCCTCTAGAGATATTTGCCTATGGGTTCGGAAAATTTATAGAATTCGAACATTAAGTTAATATAGATAATAAATGCAATTGTCATAATTACAACCATAATTTTGGGTTCTGTACTTCTATTTATGCAAAATTATAGTAATAACAATTACTTAAATAAATATACGAAGTGATTGTTTAGAAAATAAATGAAGGAATACTATGTTATATATTTAAATTTTAAAAATTAAAAAAAGAAAAAGACTATAGCAAGGTTTGAACACTGGATCCCTTGAATAGAAACTCAAGGCCCTCACCACCACACCATCTTATTTGGTAAGGTGTGATACTACACTTAATTATGATTTTAACTGTTTTTTCTTTTTTTTTTGAAGTGGGGGGACAGCTGTCCCTCCTTGTACCCTGCTGGCTCCGCCAATACCTTAAGAGAACTAGTTTTGTGCCCCGTGCGTTGCCTGAGTTATTTGTTAAATTATAAGATAAATTTTTAATCTATATGTCAAATTTTAAAATATATCATTGATAAAATATCTTTAATGAAAAAAATAAAGAAAAATTACATAATGATAAAATACACATTATTACGAATCTAACAAAAATGCACTTGATATATTTTTTCATTATAGATTACCGTACACTTATGGTCAAAGTTTGGTTAAATCAGACCAGATCAAGTTAGATCAGATCGTTCAGATTAGATCTGACCAGACTGGATTAGATAAGTGCTGATAAGCAAAAATAAGGTGAATAAACAAGCCCTTACTTAGGAATTGATGTATTTTTGTGACGATTTAAACTATGTAGTAGGCACATAATGATTAATAATAATATTGATGAAAATGTTCGATTAAACACCTTAAAAAATTAGTAAAGTAAGTATATAAAATATTAAAAGTTTCCAAAAATTAGCAGAAAATAAAATAAATAAAAAAAAGAAGTTCTAAGCTAGTTGGGTTGACCCGAACTCAAAACTTTGGCTAAGGGTTGAACATATCCTGATCCATAACTTGAAGTGACCTGATCCGAAATGACTCGTGGCCCGACCTAATTGACAAGTCTACATACAATACTAAAATCATATTAAATTGTGAATTATATTATTTTAATCGATTAGAATATATTATAAAAGGATGTTGTACGTTTTGAACTACTTCCTTCGCTCCAAATAATATTATGATATAAAAAATACTTTTATATGATAATTAGTATGAGGTATAATCTAATTTTTTCTTTTTAAAAAAAATAAATTATATTTTCATTTGTATGTATGAAATATTTGTATTTTATCGAAAAAGAACTCTAAATTAACAATTTTATCCTAAATATTTATCCAAATTTGATTGAAAATAAAATTCTAAACCTAAATTTTTAATTCTACAAAGTCTATCTAAATCTATCCAACGTGGCGTGACACTTGGAAAAAAATTAAAATGCCAAGGGTCGTTGTCTCGTAGCATGCCTTAGTAAAATTAGTTATATGATATAATATGATTTGACCCCGCAGCACACCAAATGCCAAAAAATAAAATAAAATAAAATAAAATAAAATAAAATTTGCATACCTTATGGCTTATGAGACCGTTACCAAAAAATAGTTTAATTTGGTCAGCGCCACATAGTTATTAAATTTTTTATTTAAATACGATTTAATGATTCATGTATGTTCAAATGATTCGACTTACGATTATACTCGATTTTACATATTTCTCTTAATTAGCAAAAAATCTTACAAGTTTAAACATGCTTACAAAGTTTATTTATAAGTATATAGTGTCAATTATTGGTTTCTTAGTGAATAGACATCTGGTTTCTAAAAAATAAAATAAAATAATAAAAAACCAAAAGGCTTAAACTTATAATTTGAATAAATTCAATGAAATTTGAATATGACATCTACGATTTGATCTTATGTTCCATTAGTGTCTCTTCCGATTCAAAATAGAATCTCGACTTTAATACCTTTGCTGTGATGTACACCTTATACTCTTGTAGTCTTGTAGTGTAAAAAATATTGTATTTAAAATTAGAGGTGTAAAAAACAAATTAAACCCGATTTGAATAAAATTGACTCGAGATAAACTAGCTAAATTAGAATTTCGACTTATATAAATACAATAATTTATCATGACTCAAATTTAAAATAGATTTGATTAGAACCGACCTCACCAAACCCACCCAAATTGATACCTTTATTTGAAATAATACATTGACTTTACACACTTCTATCACTAAGATGTTTTCGGTGCCACATAATCCCTACACTTCACAAACTTTTTTTTTGGTGATTCACATAGATTGCTACATTGCACATTTTAGGCTAGGTTTAGTTTACATAATCTGATCTGATCCAATTTTTTCAGATTTGATATATGACCTAATTTGATTTTAAAATTTAATCACACTTTGACCCAGTTGTACACAATTTTTTAAGATAAAAAATTATTAAGAATACATAAATTTGTAAGATAAAAATTATCAAATGAGGTGTCATTAGATTTGTAGTAATATATACTTTCAAAATACGAAATTATCATAATATATCTGATATTTTCAAAAACATTTTTTTAAAAAGGAATTTTTGTAAATAACCACCCCAAAATGTGCCCTATATTGAACTAACCACCCGTTTTTTCGAAATTAAAAAATACCACCCATTAATGTCAAAATCAGTAGATTTCACCACCCTTCTCCAATTCCGGTTAGTTTTCCGACTTAGGGTACACATGTCACCACGTAATTGCTCAAAAATAAGAAAGATAAAAACAAAATAAATTTTAAAAAAAAAAATGGGAATTCCCTTAACCCCAACCCCTGGCAGCTCCCCCATCTCCTGCCACCCCACACACATCAACCACCTGCCGGACCACCATCACCCCAACCAGCCACTATTCCTGCCGGCGAACCTCACCAAGCCCCAATCCTTGCTTACGAAACCCCACCTAGTCCCCACGTTGTCGCTTCCTCTGCTCATTCCAAGGTTGCACTCTTTAATTTTTCTTTTAATAATTTTCTGTTTTTTAGGGTTTTGATTTGTTGATTTGATAAGATTGTTGAATTAATTCAACCAACAATGGATTTGAAGCATGTAAAAAACTTCTGAAATTTTCAAGTGAGTTTGTAATTGATTGAAGAAGAGAGAGAAAGAGGAAGAGGAGAAGATTCAGAGAGTTGTTGATTTCTCTACAGATATGGGTTGACAGTGGTGACGATGGATAGAAGAGGCGGGTTGTGGTGGTTGTGATTTGTGAAGTGGAGGAGATTGTTAGAACTGGGACGGGGACGGGGACGGGGAAGGTAAGGGGTGCCATAAACAAAAATAGGGAAGGGGAGGGGTTGCCGGAGGTGGCAGAGCTGCTGCCTATCGGAGGTGGCAGTGGTGGGTTTGGTTTTTTTTTTTTTTTTTTTTTTTTTTTTTTTTTTTTATAATGTAATTTTGATTTTATATTTTGTGGGTCCCTAAGTTGGAAAACTGGCCGGAATTGGAGAAGGGTGGTGAAATCTACTGGTTTTGACATTAATAGGTGATATTTTTTAATTTCGAAAAAAATGGGTGGTTAGTTCAATACAGGGTACATTTTAGGGTGGGTATCTACAAAAAAATCCCTTAAAAAGTTAAGTGTTTTTGGTTAGAGAGCTATAAGGGCGAGTGATGATCTGAGAATCGATCCCATGATCCCTTGTAGGCAACTCTCCTCACCCGGAACTCAGTCGAGACCGTGAAATCGGGAGAAAATCTCTAACCAACTAAGCTATATCCTTTACTATCTTAAAATAAGTTGATATACACCTAGATAAATTGAAACGCACATAGCCTTAAACATATAACCTACATTATTTTCCTTCTTTTATCCTTTGTAAAGTAATGTTATCATCTTTTTGTTAATTATCTATTAATTCCTTTTTTTGTTACACAAGTAATATCAATATATTATTCCTACTTTACTTCTATACTCGGTATCTTTTTTCACACCAACCTTTTTATTATATTGGCTATAAAACCCTTTAATTCACTGTTAAAGGACCAACCTACAAAATTTGTTTATTTACTCTATCACTCATATTAGAACAACATTTATGTTAAATTAATAATTGTAAATCAACCACTGCTTATCATATAAAACTTTGTACAACTAGAAGTGTTCAGCTAATTGAGGACAAATAAAGTACTTCTTCCACCACTTTTGCCTCAGATTATTTGATTTCTTTTAGTCTTTCTTAGTTAAACATTATGTTAATTTACCCTACTATTTTATACTTTCTCTGATTTTTTAGTTAACACGTTTTTATCACATTTGTCAATATACAACTGATTTTAAACGATATGCAAGTATATTACAATTATAAGAAAGTATTCACCATTTCAATCTAACTCTTAATAACTTGAATTTTTGGCAAATGTAATCTTCAAGGGACATAACGAACAAAATCTCAAATGATTTGATTCAACGGTCTTGTCACTGTCGTAGTTGCATCAACGTATGCTATCCCCTAATCTTTGCATCAGAAAATAATATTGTAGAATGGTGATGAATACGAGGTACTTTGTGTTGATGTAGAGGCTTTTATGATTGATACTAACTAAGATTTTCCCAGGGTTCTTATGAGGTCAACACCAAAGATATACGAGATTGTGCTCAAACTTGACTCTTAGTCGGTTCCTAAACTGAAGGTAGTGTCAAGTGCAATAGCTAAAATAGAAGAGGCTGATGCAGATGAACACAGGCACAACTCACCTGCAGAGTCCAACTCTGGGTTTGGAGTACTAAAGATTGGATATATTTAGTATCTTTTTTGTGTACAGTTGTAACTTAAA